TTTGTTATATAATACAATTATTGTTCCACATTTGATTTATTGTATTAGTATTTGGGGAAAGGCATGTAAATCAATTACAAAGCCTATTTTTGTTTTGCAGAAAAGAGTTTTAAGAATTATTACTAGAAAACATTATCGGCATCCATCAAGTATATTATTTTATAATACCAAATTGCTGAAGTTCTATGATTTGGTGGATTATAATATATTGTCAGTGATGTATAGAGCGCACAATAATGTTTTGCCTTCGAATATCCAGGTGTATACTGTTAAACGATTGAGTTGTTATAATCTTAAGGGAACAGACATGTTTGTGAAGCCCAAGTATAAAACTACTTTAAAAGGAAGGTCTACCATAATTCAAGGAGTTGGGTTATGGAATGAATTAGGAACTGATGTTAAAGAAGCTAAATCAATGCCTATATTCAAAAGAATGGTCAAGGATAAATTGTTGAAACAATATATTTGAAATGAGTTCAAACAGTAATTCATTGCGATTAAGGAAGTTAATATGTTGTTTATCTCTTTTTTGTATTCAAAGGAAGTTGTTTGTTTAAATTGTTTATCATAAAATAAGGGGCAGATATGATAAGATTTTTTTCTTCATCTGCCACCTTTCATTTTATAATTTTATTTCTTTTGTTGTCTGTATGTTAATTGTTTTGTGGTTTTTTTATTATTATAAAATGAATAAAATAAATAAATAAATAAATAACAGCATTGTAAGAGGGGGACAGTCGGACACGGAGGCTCCGCCCTGTTTAATGATGGACGGTTTCTTTTCACAAAGATGGCCTCCTTTACTCCTCTCTCAAACCATCATTCCTCTCTATCCAGGATGTGAACATCTTCATCCCTGAACGAGTGACCACTGGCCTGGGGATGAGTGTAGACCGCAGAGTCCTGGCCTGATGATGTTGCTCTTCTTTTGGCCAGTGGCTGTTTAGTTTCCCCGACAGATCGCTCTCCTGACACTGAACAGCATACACAATATTACTCTGTTTGTGCCGGGGGACTGGATCTTTGGGATGAACCAGTCTTTGCTGTAATGTATTTTGGGGTTTAAAAGCCACTGGGATGTTATGTTTAGAAAATAAACGTCTCAGTTTCTCTGAAACTCCTGCAACATCTGGAATGACCACTGGTCTGGGTCTGGGTTCCTCCTTTTCACCTGATGGCTGACTGGAGTCCTGTTTGGGTTTCTTCACTGCTTTCAGGAAGGTAAATGAACTGTACTTATACAGCTCCTTTCTGTCTTGTCAAGATACTCGAAGATCTTTAACACAATCTGTGCCCTCATTCATACAGCACTCTACTAGATCTATACAAAGATCAATCAGAGCTTTATCACATTCATACACTGATGGGACACACATCAGAGGCAATGAGGGGTTCAGTGTCTTGCCCAGGGACACTTCAGCATGTGACTGCTGGTGGAATTGAACCCCCAAAAAGTTGACCTTACTTTGGGCCTGACTCAACCTGCTTAGATTCATCTACCTGGATTATTGAGCATCAGGACCTTCTCCTTCCTGTGTTTCCTTACAACCTGGAAATAAATGGATTGTCAGGATGATCATGTTGGACTGAGGAACAGCTTCTACCCTGAAGCTGTTAGACTTATAAATCACTAACTAAAAAAAAATCACTGTAATGACATTTGACACTTTATCTGT